TGAGAAAAAGAATAATCAGTTTGTTCTTGTGGTAGTTTGGGCGCTGTTTCCAAACAGTTGCCAGGATACCTTGAAACCATCGGTATCATCAGCTACTGCTCGGTGTCTGAAGTGCAAACGAATGCTCTCTATGGCTCGGTAGCTATTCTGTGTATAGGTGCTTGATTTGTAACGCTCTGTTGTGGGTGGTGGAGGTCTTGCGGTCCCATTTTCCTCCAAACCCTCCCTTGTTTCCTATGATCCATATTTGAGAAAGTGTTGTGTGTTTCTCTCTGTTTTTTACATACCGTCGTATTTAATGTCCACAATTATGATGCATGGCCCCACGTTTGGCTGCTGGATGCTTGTCCGGTGGGTGCCAATCTCCGGCGCTTCGGCTGAGTGCTGATGAATAAAAAAACAGATCGCGTAATGCCTAACGGTAGATGTGCAAAGTCATGATGCCTGGTCTGCTTCTGTCCTGGGTTCACTACTCCGTGCATTGCAGCCGTGAGTAAAACCAGCTCAGGCTGAGAGTTCCCTCAATGATTGCTTTTCCAAAGCGCGTATTCTGAACTCACTCAGATCGGTCATGGTCTTCATTTCTTCATTTCTTTTTCTTTCTTTTCAGTTTTGTGTTAATTACAGTGAGGAATCCTGCCACAACGCCTGCACAAATACATACGAATAACAGAGCCCTACAAATATATACTAAACAGCATAAGCTGGCTCTGAAAACGCCAGCGTGGCGGGGCTCTTGTTGATCAATCTTCAGGGGCATGTCTCTGGCAGCAGCGCTTGCCTTGACTGCCGTGGCCAGGTTCGATTTTAGGCGTCCACGCACACCAGTGACATCTCGACGGAAGTAGTTGTCCATTGCCTGATGTGGCGGGGCGTCTGAGGGCATCCTCAGAACATGACCTAGCATCCGGAAACGGCGGACAGCTACGATGTGCGAGCGTGGCTGTGCGTGCGCTCTGGAACTATATTCTTTGTTGGAGATGATGGCGGGATACCTAATTCCGAAAAAGGTCCGTAGTTGACGTCTATGGAAGACGTTCAGCTTCTCCAGTGCAGCCTCCGTCAGTCCTCAGGTTTCGCAGTTGTGGAACAGCGTTGGTAGGACGATGGCATTGCATAGACAAAGCCTTGTTTACTCGGATACAAGTTGACGTCTCCCTGATTGTTACTTCGTTCGAACTTGACTTGTAATTACCGGTACAAATACTTCCTTTTGACTGTTTTCTCATTTTCGCAAGTGAAGCTTTATCGAGCTACACTTTTTATTCCATCGCCATCATAATATTGGGCATCAATGCCCGTTTGGTTTGCGATGTAAAATAAAACTTCAAACAACAAACAAAAAACGTCGTATCAAGAGCGAATACATGCGGCCATACGATGTTGATGCATGGTCTATTCGTGGGCTCAAATCTTGCTCTTCCCCCAAGAGAGAGCCAAGTTGCTTGGATCTTCGCCATTCAGAGGTGGAGGCAGAGATGTGAACCCACTCTGTTTTGCTGAACCTCAATAGACTGTACGTTTTACTGATACTTCTGTCGAACGGGTCCTTTTCACTCAGCTCCTGAAATCCTCAGAAGTCGACGCGATACGTTTGCAAATCACAAGCGAGTTGTCTCTGGTTTGAGTTAAAATACTCTCCTCGAAAATTGAACGTCGCTTTAAAGCAAGAGAGTGGGTGGGAGAAAGTTTGCTGAGCAGTCAGCCCAACACCAGGAAAAATATGGTCCTAAGTGTACGTGCGAGTATGTTGTTATGTGTGACATTTATAGTATGTGGTGTTTTCAAGACTACGCCGTGTCAGAGTGTGAGAATCTTTTTCCGTCTCTGTGAGAGCGACTGTCAAGTGAATGCTGAACATGCGCAGTGTTAGTTTGGTCTGGGAATGAGAGTCGTGTGTGATTGGTCATGTGTTCTGTACGTATTGGTCCCTGATTTGTCGTCACAATTTCTATACAAGCGAACACTCCCGGTTTTCCTGGAAATATCCCGGAAAATCAACGACTACTCTATAAAGTTACTTTTCTGGTTTTTGTGGTTTGCATTTGTCACGTCCCTGAACGTGACGATTGCTGCCTGATAGTCATGTGACAGCAGGATCTACATAGTGAGCATCTCTGTGCTGAGCTGGCATGCCCTTTTGATAGAATGTGGTTTGGCCAGTGTCTTGTCCCACGTGCTTAGCATGTAGGTTGAGCGACATGCCCTTTCCCACGTAGGTGACATGCCTTCTTGGCATGGCACATCATGTGACCCAAAGCCGGAACGAGGTCAGGTGGGTTCTCGCGTTGTACGTTTCTTGGAAGTGCTTCGCTTCCTGGAAATGTGACTCCAGGCTTTGTGCACAACCACGTCACAACAATGTTCTACAGGGTTCCACGATGCCTCCTTGCTTCGTGCAAGGAGGCAAGAATAACATGACATTGTATAACAAGAGCTAAGTGCAAGAAAGGATACGTGTGCATAAATCAAACCTTCACCGCGCAACAGGTCAGAGTATCACGCAAGCAAGACCAAGAATGCAGCAGAACTTACCATAAGAAGCCACTGAACTATGGCACGTTGGATGAGCGGGTTCCCCACGTCCCAATTTGGTCTTTATTCTCCATGTCTTTCTTTCTCTTTCTTCTCGAATGATTACGTACTTGCATTCTGCTTTTCTGCTGACTGGCTGCTCATATTCCAGTTTTACCGGTTCTTGTAGTTCCTGGAAATACCTCGTATCATTCTAGGCAATGATCATGCCACATCTCAAAATTGCGCTATAAAAGAAGCTCTTGCTCACTTTTTTACTGCAGTCGAGACTCGGTCTCAGTTCTCTGTCTTGGTTTACTTTGAGCTCGGATTTGAATGACTACTCACAACGTAAATCTAACAGTCTTTGTCTCTTGATCGTGTGGGGTTGAACTTAGACCAAGCTAGCTATATTTGTTGGCCCCTGGGTTGTGTTGGGCTTGAGGGCCTGCTCTAGACATTCAACACAGCCCGGTCAGAGTGTACCTGGCGCATGCAGGCCAGCCGGATCAAGCCGGGTCAGATCATCCGGCAGAAACAACCAAAAAGGCTGCTCAAAACGCAGGAAAACAGAAAGGCGATTTTATTACCCGGAAATCGGAAATTTTAGAGAACATCGCGACGTAATCCACCGCCGCTCGTCTTCCTTTAGAAATGCGTCTTGCACAAAGCGCATGACATGGATAGACTGGCATGGTCGTTATCCAGCCAGGGTCGACCTTTCTTCCAAGAGTCTTGGAAAGCGTGAGTTCTTTTTCTCTTCGCTGTGGGCTCCATCGTCCAAATCACCAGTCGGCTGAAAGCTTGCAACTGTGTCAAAAGCTATAGCCAAAGTTACGCTTTTGACTGCCTGCCCCATCGACTTTGAATGTCCTTACTTCCTGCTCGCCTCTGGCTAGATCGCGCTCGAACCAGTTGACCCCAGTTGACCCTAGCCGAGTTTCTGTCGCTTGTAGACTGTAGTGTGTACGGTTGCGCTAGATTTGCAACAGATAGGGTCCGCGAGTCGTAAAATACCGGTATTTTAGGAATCCATTGTCAGTTTGAGACATTTTTCAGCCGGGTCAGACTGGACCCAGTGTTATCTGTCCAGCCAGGTCGTGCAGTTCCCCAGCCGGGCGCGGGACCCGGCTGACCCGGCTCTCCAGCAGGCCCTGCGGGTTGTCGTGAGGCCACACGTCTATTCAGTTGCCGCTCGTAGTGATTCCTGGGTCCGGTCACTGAGAGCCAGGGATGCGACACATTAAATTTGTATTGCATTTTCATCCATTGTGTTTCTTTCGACCATAAAAGAGGCTTCATTCACTACTCTCGGGGTCCTGGGGATTTCAAACAAAAACTCCCGATAAAGTGACGTGTTTTTGTTTGATACAGAATGTTCCTGAAAACTCCATGCATTACCAACGAATGTCCCTTTTTTCTCCAAAACATTACGCTGCGCACTTGCACTCCCGACTATGCACCGCACTTTCAAGACCTGACCAGCGTAGCCTGCAAGATCTGCCCTGACCTTTGTTTTCCATTCTCCTCCTGCGCTTTCAGCATTTGTTGTTATAAGAAGACGGTGTCCAGATGTCCAGAGCAGTAACTGGGTGCCGTCAAGAGGTGAAACCCTAATAGTTGGATGTAAAGGGTTACATGCATTGGATACCTTGACAGCCACGCACAGTAAATGAAGCAGCAAAATGTCCCACGTTTTCAGAGCTGCCCTACAGTGTCTAAAGGAAAATCATGTATCCCTCTATAACTTACAAATGTTCTATAGTTTTAGGAACCGCGGAACGAAAATTATAATTATGCCCTTTAGATTACTAATTGAAGCCATGAGTCATTCGCCCATTGCGGATAATTCTCTAAAACAATGACAGATTCTGTTCGAAAAGCATTGAAATTTCCAGAACCTTCAACCTTATAGCACGCACTTCCGTTATTTCTGCTCCATTTCTTCATGTACCTAACAAAAATGTCGGTTGCCAACATAACAAAATATTAACTACACGAACCATAAAAAACGGGTTTTGTACCTTTTCTACCGCCATGATCCGCCAAAGACTATGAGACTATGAGTCCCTGGGGAAGTCCCCGTTTAGGTATACTGTTTAACGTCATATTCAGTTCTCACGCAATTTGTAACAATTCAAGCCAGGATATATTCTCATGCTTGGGTGGTTAGTTATTTTTCTGCAGTGTCAAATAAAGCAACTTCAGAAATTGCGTTTTCTTAGCTTTGCAACAAACCTCAAACCTCATGCTTGACAATGGAAAGAAAAATGACGAAAACTATATGTTACAGTGGTGTATGTGAAGTGAGCAACCTAACCAAGTTGCATATGAATCATGTTGTGGTTAGGAGTCTAGGTTATTCCTGAAAACAGCGTCATGTTTTGGCCTTTTAGATTAGAACAACTATACCCTAGACTCGGTGTTTTGTGCACTACCCGGAACTAAGCAACAACAACATTGTCTTTGTGCTTTGTCGTTTGTAGAAATTTTGATAGTAATCAGATCCAGACTTTAAGTGACGGTGTGTTCTCTGGTCTAACAAACCTCCAAACACTGTAAGTATTATCAACTGCACCACTGAACGCAGAGAACAGTAATTATAACTGTGTGTATATAGAGTACTGCTGGATACGTGATGAACAAACCTCGATTATCTGTGAGTATTATTATCTGCTGCACTGATTGAAGGAAACAGTTGTAGACGCTGTGTTAAAATGCTTTGTTATGAAGCCTCTCATTGTCGTTAGTGTCAGGAACGAGTGACCACACGTCACGAGGAAAACTACTTTTTCTTAACTGTATATGTGGGAAAAGAATTCAGGTGGACACACCCATTCCCATACCGCTGCACATCACATCCGAACCAGTTCCGTTATTTTTACAACGTTTCAGCACTTGGCCATCGTCAGGTAATAACAATGAATACCGTGGAAGCCACACAAGAGCAGTATATATAGGCAGAGTGTAGCACCAAAAAAGATGCGAATTATGTCACCTAGTATGCAGAAACGGGGGGGGGGGACAGAGAGAGAGAGAGAAAAGGTGCAACTAGGACATCACAGAGGAGAAGGCAGCGCGCATTGTGCTCTGTGAACGGCGTTACACAGAGTGTAGCGCCAAAAAAATAAAATAATGATGCGAGTTATGTCACCTCTAAACAGAGGGGGAGAGAAGGTGCAACTGTGCACATCACGGAGAAGAAGAGCGCGCCGTTGTGCTCTACGAAGTGAGGGTACATGCCAAATAATTATGGTCTTAATTCTAGCACATTACAGGAGGGGAGCACGAAGGCCCATGCGCCATGGCACTATGAGGTTAAACTTCCATGCCAAACTGTTACCACCAGAGACGCGACGAGGCATCAGGCACAGAATGGATTTGATCAGTGCCGGCAATGCATATGTAAACGTGATGGTCGGGCTTGTTTGGATTGCAAACCTGGCGTGAGTGAGAAATGTCGGAATCCTCACAACATCTCGTTAATGTTGCCGGAAGGCGATGTGGGTCCTCTGTTTCCAGTGAACCACGTGGTATTTTCCAATGCCGGCGGGGGTGGTAACTCGAACCATACCCATAATGCTGTTTTTCGGATGGCGGCTGCTGATGAGAGTGCACATGTGGGTGATGACCTTTCAACAGTGCCAGGGGCTGTTGTCTCTCGTTGCAGTTCCATGGCTGGACCTTTGCGTGCCAGCGTCCCTGTCGCATTGGTTCCTGACAGTAACGACCTTGATGCTGTCCATGGTGTTTGTGCTGCTTCGTCATGTGCATCAATTGCGCGTGATGGTGGTGCGGTTCATTGTGCTCAGTCATTGTCGGAGTCTTCTCCAGAGAAACATGTTCAGGATCGACATTTGTCGACCACAGTAGTACCTGGTGTGGATGACTGCGGCCATGTGACAGCCCCTCGTGAAACGTTTTGTCTGGGGAATTTGATGGCATCTGAGACTATGACGGCTCTTTCCACAGCATATGGTGAGTGTGTGCATCTTGCTACGAATGCATTTCAAGTGCCTCGCGGAAATGTTGGCCGAGATGTATAACAACTCTATCTACTTATTTCAACTGTTTTGGTGATGCAGGATCATACGCTGACAGTGCGTTGATGGTGGCAGCAGTATTTCAGATGCTGATGCTGCAGATTCCGCGCAGTATCCTCCTGCTCATGCCAAGCTCCTGGACAGGCGTTTGGACCAGTGGTTTCATGGTCAGATTATTGAATTATTGTTGGAAACAGAGGCTATCCACAATCTCTGAGAGAAGTCCAGTACAAGGGTTCGAGGTCGTCCTGATGATCCTGCACGAAAGTTTGCGGATTGTGTCGCATCTGGGAGGCTATCGGCTGCTCTGCGCTGCCTTGGTGCTGATCGTGGTGGTGGAGTGCACAGCATCAGTGATGAAATTGACGATGTTCCAGTAATCGACATATTGAAGCAGAAGCATTATGAGGCTGAGCCCGTGTGCGAAGAAGCTCTGATACCGGGACAGCCGCCTCCTTCTCAGCATCCCATCTATTTTGCTTCGCTGGGGCGCCGTGCTATCCGACAGGCAGCGCTAGGCACACAGAGCGCAGCGGGACCCAGCGGTGTGGATGCTGAGGCCTGGCGTCATATGTGCTCCTGTTTCACGGACGCTTCGGATGGGTTGTGTGATGCGCTTGCTTCTTGTGCCAGGAGAGTGGCCACTGAGCAAATTGATGCTGGTGCATTGATAGCGTTCACTGCATGTCGCTTGCTGCCCTTGGACAAGCGGCCCCGTGTCAGACCAATTGGCATCGGCGAGGTTGTTCGTCGCATTGTGGGGAAAGCAATTGTGTCCATTGTGGGCCCTGCGGTTCAGCAGGTTGTTAGCTGCTCCCAGCTGTGCGCAGGTCAGGACTGCGTGGTGGAGGCGGGCATACATGCTATGCAGGAGGCGGTTGCTCGAGAAGAGATCGATGGAATTCTGATGGCAGACGCAACAAATGGTTTCAACCGCCTGAATCGCAGCGTCTGCTTTCGGATTTTCAACACCTTTGCTCGCCTCTGGCCACTGTTTTTATTAACACCTACAGGACGCCTGCATGCCTATATGTCGACGGTGATTGCATCTTGTCGGAGGACGGAACAACCCAGGGAGACCCTCTGGCAATATACATGTATGCCATTGGCATGATGCCTCTCGTGCACAAAGCTAAACAAGCCGGGACTATCCAGTCTTGGTTTGCAGATGATTCCGCAGCGGCGAGTGTGTTGCGTAGGCTCGGTCGTTGGTGGGACATCTTGGCAAGTGATGGCCCAGCTTATGGATATTTCCCAAATACATCAAAATCGATTCGGGTGGTGAAGGAGCGTTGCTATCGTGAGGCAGTTGAGCTGTTCAGCGACACCAGTGTCGTCATTACGTGTAATGGAGCTCGGTACCTGGGGGCAGCCATCGGCTCAGCTGACTTCAAGGAGAACTTTGTATCGACTAAGGTCCAGGAGTGGGCTGATGAGCTAACTAGATTGGCTGATTTCGCTCGCTCGCAGCCCCAGGCAGCATATTATGCATGTGTCTTGGGCTTGGGAAGTCGCTGGGCTTTCCTATGCCGCGTTCAGTCTATTTCTCCGTCCCAGTTCCAGCCACTGGAGGACATGATAAGCACGAAGCTTATACCAGCAATGACGGGTCGGCCACCGCCTGGCACAGTATTGAGGGAAGTACTTGCAATGCCCTGTCGTTTAGGTGGCCTGGGCCTGGTCAGCCCAATGACTTTGTGCTCCCAGTATGAGTCGTCTGTCGCCATCACAGTATCTCTCTTTCGGCGTATCGTGGATCGTGTTTCTGATATTTGGAATTCTCTGATTGGCATCCAGCGAGAGAAGGCAAAGAGGAAGAAGGAAGTACGCCATAGCCAGGCGGAGTCGGCATGGCGTATCAGCAATGATGCGTTGGTCGCCTTGCGACACACCATTGTCCTCGCCCGTGAACCTGGCACCTCGAGTTGGCTGACTTGCCGTCCATTGAAAAAGCATGGCTTTTCCCTGAGCAAAGCTGAGTTCATGGACGGCTTGTGCTTTTGTTATGGTTGGATGCCGCCGAAGTTACCAACTCATTGCTCTTGTGGACGGGACAATGGTTTGACCATGCCTTGTCATGTCCCCTTGGTGGTTTTACCATTATCCGCCATAATGAGATCCGGGATGTGACAGCCTCTCTCCTTCAAGAGGCCTGTCACAATGTCTCCATCGAGCGACTGCTGCAGCCACTCACTGAAGAGAGAATGAGATACAGGTCTGCTATTGTGGAAGAGCATGCGCGGCTTGATGTGGCGGTCAGTGGTTTGTGGGGTTGTCGTTTTGAGCGTACTTTACTTGATATGCGGGTTTTTAATCCTCATGCACACTTAAATCGATCTGCAACACACACCACTGTCTATTGGTGCCATGAAAAAGAAAAGCGACGATGCTATGAAGAGAGAGAGTGAGAGAGGTGGAGCATGCGACGTTCATGCCTGTTGTGCTGTCGGCAAGTGGTGGCATGGGAAGAGCGGCGACATCACTCTATCGCCGAATCGCGTTATTGAGAGCGGAAAGGAGGAAGGAGCAGTACTATCACGTAATATCTTACGTCAGATGCCGTCTCTCATTTGCCCTGTTGCGATCAGGCATCATGTGTTTGCGGGGTTCACCGGGTCTTTTCGTGAGCGATTGGTTCGGCATCCGGAGTCTGCTGAGCTGGTTATTGCTGAGGCCCAGGTTGCTCGCATGTGAGAATCTACAAATGGCAGCAAATTATTCTTATTATAAATACTGGACGTGGATATTGAATTAAACTGTACTCAGTGACTCTTTACATTTTTACAGGCTACGTAAAATGGCCGAGAGCCGAGAGCCAAGAGCTCTGTCGCACCCTGTAATAATAGGCTACGTATTATTATAATTTTTATTATTATTACATCAAGATACAAGTGCAATAAAACCACTAAAGGAAACGCAAAAAAGGTAACAAGATTACATAACCAAAGGCGAGAAGGCACTGAACGAAGTGTCAACCTACGAATACAACTTCAGTGCAACAATGTGCTCTTTCTGCTTACACAAAACAGGCTTATGAATACGTATACAAACTGCCTCTAGGACTTTCAACTGTTGGACATAACGCGCACGACACAGTACTGAAAAATGAGAGTCATCATACACACCAAGACAGTCAGGACGAGATAACAAGTGTGGATACACAGCCGACTTCTTACGATCAACACATTCATCCGCCTCATCTCGCTCCTTCCCACCCGACTCCTCCTCGTCCATCTCATCGTCATCTTCCTCGTTCCGCTCGTCATCCTAACGATCATCATCACCACCATCATCTGCCTCGTCCTCTGTCTCCTCACCAACCGTTTCGTCATCCAATTCCTCTTCCATCCTCTGATCATCCGTCCCATCCTCCGTTTCAGTACAGACCACTTGTCTCCCATTTGCTAGCTGCTCGTCCCTTGAGCGGAGTTGTTCCTCCAGATCTGCTTCACTCACTGACTCATGATACTGCTCGACCCTCCTCCTGTTGGTACTGTCCACAACACGCGGTCCCTGGCCGTTTCTGGCATAGATCTCTGTGGAGTAGTTTGCTGTTGCCCTCCGAGGTCTCTGGATTAATGTGGGCGGCGTGGCAATTCGTGTGAGAGTTGGTGATGCCAGCGCGAGTGTAGGTGGCTGGGGTGGACCCACCTACACTCGCGCTGGCATCACCAACTCTCACACGAATTGCCACGCCGCCCACATTAATCCAGAGACCTCGGAGGGCAACAGCAAACTACTCCACAGAGATCTATGCCAGAAACGGCCAGGGACCGCGCGTTGTGGACAGTACCAACAGGAGGAGGGTCGAGCAGTATCATGAGTCAGTGAGTGAAGCGGATCTGGAGGAACAACACCCTTACTTACTGTTCATGGCTAACCTTGGCACCTGTTATTCTACTTACTGTATAAAACTGCTTCTTTACTAATAAAGAGACGATAATTCCTCAGCTGACTAAGTGAGACGTTTACAGGGACGGTCACAGCAGCGGGAGGCGTGTATAAAACGGGAGTAGCGGAGACAGAAGCGGCATGGACATGATCATTCTCGACATCCATGTCCGCCTGCTGCATGCTGGTCCAAGCCACACCCTCGCACAGCTTCGCCTCAACTTCTGGGTTCGTCATGGCCGTCAGGCTGTTCGCTATGAACTGAAGTTATGTCTTGTGTGCCTTCGTCAAGACTCACCACTGTATCGTCTTCCTTTGATGCCGCCTCTACCTGCTGAGCGTGTCAACCCTGCTCATCCATTTGAGTTCACCGGTCTGGACTACTTTGGACCTTTGCTCATCACGCAGTCCGACTCCTCCACGACCAAGGTGTGGGTCTGTTTATTCACCTGTTTCGCTGTCCGTGCAGTCAATCTCGAGTTTGTGGATGACTATGAGCGTACCTCTCTTCTTCTCTTGGTATGATCATCTCAAGAGCTAGGTGGAGGCTCTTTGGGCACGCCCTTCAGCTCCCGGCGAGCTATTTACCATTACTGAGCATGGGAGCGTGCTTCGCAGAGCCTGGTCCAGGGGGCTGGAGGGGCCGACGAAGACATACGCTGGAAACACTACTCATGACGAGATGATGCCAACCAGAATGAATTTTCCTTGTCAAGCATAGTCGGTCTGGAGGCAATATGGGCCCTTACTGTTGACCGAAGCGGTGGGTGGGCTTCTGTGCCCGTGTGGTGTCGGCACCTTAGTTTTGTCTTCTTTTCGTATTTTTCTGTAACTGTTGTGGACTTGTGTATCTATTTCAAGTGGCTGATGCTAACACTTTCGGTTGGTTTGCATGATTTGCACCATCTCCACAACTCAATTGGCTGTCTTGAAATGCTATGAGGTACAGACATAATATAAAAAAATAAAAATGTTGAGAACGCCCCGCAATTCGCAACGCTGCTACTTCCAAACCAGCTTTTCGCGCACAATACAAAGTAGTGATAGCGACTTCGGCGATGGTATTTTAGGAAAGGATTTGCTCCCCACACTGGAGCTAGCGCCTCTGCGCCGATTTGACTTGACACTTGACTCAGACTCAGGACCGCTATAATACCAGCGAATCTTCGACTGGGCTAACTTGCAAGAAATTTTGTTGTGCCAGGAGGTGAGAGCGTTGTGAATAAGAGAGGGTCGTCGACGTCTGTTTTCTCCGTCCCAGAGCGACACTAACTCAGACTGCTATTTGGTGTTCACTAAGCATTTGTTATGCTGAAATGTGAGTGTCTGTGCTAAGTTATACCCGTGGTGATGTTTGTACCTGGAGAGCACTATATACGTGATGCTCTTCAGCACAATATTCTTCAGCCTACTCAAGCTCAACTGATGAGGTGTGATTTCCCCGAAACGTTGTATAGAGAGTGGCGCAGGGTTTCCGAAACGAATAAAATGGCCTTCTCGAAACGAATGTTAAATGGCCTTCGGAAGTGCTCTGGATGGCAGTCGTGGGTAAGTCAAGTATCAAGTCACTGGATAAGCCCGAGCTCCAGTGTGGTGTGAAAATCATTCGTAACAAGACACCGTCGAAGTAGCTGCCACTACATCTTCCTTTTTTCCGATTATTAACCCCGAGTTTCCTCTGATCTCTTTTGTCCTTTGTAGATGGCTGAGTAGCAATCCTCTTATTCTGAAACCAAGTCTCTATGTCAATTTATATGGTATCGGCACTATCTCCACCAACATCTGTTACGGGTGTGTCCTTCTTGACTCACGGGTTGCGGTGTACTTGAATCAAGGTATGCTACGACATTGATGGTGAAAATCATTAAAAAAAAGAGCCAAAGCAATGCATGGTATATTGTATGTGGAATTCTTTCATCATCCCCTATTGTCATCAAGATAATGTTGATTCAGAACGAGCACCGTTTCAACAAAATTAATCGCTGTGTTACTAAGAAAGGGGACGTGGAGAGAATAATCTTAATAAAGCAATGAATACAACTCTATTTGCACTCATATCACAACCATGGAGACGATTAAAGTATTATAGAACGTTTTTTTGTCACAATTATCAATGGAATTTGTGACTGGAGAGAATTATGAAACTAAAGACCAGCACGTCGATGGATAATTTTGTTGCTAAAATCTCTGCTCAATTATAGGTTGTTCAAGCTACAGAGTACTGTCCTGACGACATGCGCTGCGGCCTCATCGTTCCCATCTACAAAGCCGGCAAGCCTCTAGGACATCCAAAAAGCTACCGCCCCGTTATGCTCCTTTCCGTCGTCCGTAAGATCTTGACGTCAATACTCACTCGACGACACACACTCCATGTGCAGTCATATGTGGCAGAGAGCCAAGCTGGTTTCCGCCCTGGCAGATCGACCACGGATGGTGTCTTTTACGCCAGGACGATGTGTGAGCGCGCACTACTTGGCGACTGGTCATATTCATCGGCACTATTGGACTTCAGCGGTGCGTTTGACACTGTCATTCGTCAGGTTGCTCTGGAGAGGTTAGCCACTGCTGGCGCACCAACGTCCACCACTGCAGTCCTAGTATCAAACACAACAGCCCGCACGAAGCTTGGTAAACAACTAAGCAAACCATTTCCAACAAACATCGGCGTCGTCCAGGGTGACCCAATGTCACCAATAATGTTTATAACTTACGCCGAAGGTTCCATGCGTAGGATCCGAGAGCAAGCTCTACCCGCGTCAGACCTACCAGCAACTTTCACACAATACGCAGACGACACCACTGCCCATCAGAACGAGCGATCATCTGTGGAAGAAACCGTCCGTGTGTGTGAACCCGTTTTCTCGGATGACAATCTGAAGCTGAACGTGGCAAAAACTCAATATTTCACTGTGACCAAGGAAGATGATTCCTGGAAATCGGTGAAGCTGCTGGGGAGTATGCTAGGCACAGCAGAAGACATAGCAGCTAGAGTGTCTGCTGCAAATCGGGCATTTGCAGGCATTCCATGGAAACGCCACAACCTGAATTCCAGGCTGTGTATGTTTTCCTGCCTGATATTGCCTGTCTTGCTGTATAATTGTGCGCTTTGGACCTTATCGCAAACATTAACCGACGTCGTCAATGTATGGCACCGGAAGAAACTACGTACCATCATTGGTATCACGTACCCACAACGAATCTCGAACACAGCGCTGTATGCCAGAACCGAGCAGACCCCACTATCCCAAGTCTGCAGGCAACGGAGACTGCTGTGGTTCGGCCATGTAGTGAGGGAAGGCGAAGAATCGTCCTCTTTCCAAGCCCTCCTAATGTCGATCAACACAACAGACATACGACGACCCCGAGGACGGCCACGTCTGAGATGGATCGACGTTGTCAAGAAAGACTTACAATGCATTAATCTGTCGCTTCTGGATGCTGTGCAATCTGCTTCTGATAGAGCTGCTTGGCTCGAAATTGTTAACAGATGCGTTGACCTCATGCAATGAGTGAAATGCGAACTGTCATTATTATTATTATTATTATTAATTATAGGTTTCATGTATATCCTGCTGGTTTGTCTCCTCCTTTGCCTTCTTTGCCTCTTATTTGTATTCTTTTATCTGTTTTACTGCTGTGGTTGGCTTTCACCCTTGTCTCAGTTTTACAAGCCGTCATCATGATGTGCCATGAGATAATGATATCAATACAAATACAATAAAATGTATACACTCGGAGTGAAAAATCACGAGGATAGGAGAATGGAGAGTAGTAGGGTGGACACACCCATTCCCACAGCACTGCAAGCTTTCGGAAAAATGAAGTCCCTTCACACCAGAACACAGGGGTTTTATAGTATTGAGTATGGAAAGTATTTCGACAAGAGTGTAGACAAGAATGAAAAGGAGAACAGGACAACAACAACTCAGACAACACTGGAGATCCACAGGAGCATGCGCTCTTCTATACATGGGTGGCTCTCATCGTCAAGGGGAACAAGCGGGAAATATGAATAGTGAGTATGTACAGGTCGTAGCATAAATACACCTATTACACTGTGCGCCCCCCCCCCCCCCAAGAAAATTCACGTCCACGGGAATGGACGAAATACATAGGAAACAAACAAAAGAAAAACAAACAAATAATAAACTCAGTCCAGGATATAGTCAGCTAGTGGAGCAGGTACAGTGCGAACACGGCCAGAACGAGGAGAAACAGGAGAAGAAGTACTAACTGGACCAGAGGACAGCGGCTGAAGTGGCGAACCATCATCAGGTAGCGTCAGCGGGTCAGAACGAGAAGTAGTAACGGCGGGTGGTTGACAGTCAGGAGGACGGGATACGGCTTCAGGCGGACGAACAAACTTGCCACTGGCAGCATCATAACTGGAGAAACTCTCAGCCAGAATAGGATCAGACGGAGCAAGAAGACTCAGAAGCTTGAAACAACCAGGTGACGACGGTCCAGCGGCAGAGGCACCAGGAGGACAAACAAAAACGGCAGGAGGAACAATCTCAGCAGCCGGAGGAACAACAGCAGCAAGTGGCACTTCAGCAGCAGCTGAAAACGGAACATCACGGGCATCAGGCGGCGGATTCGGCGGAGGAGACGGCACATCTGTCACCAGAACAGGGGACATGGCATCAGAATTCCTGTGTCGAAACCCCGGGCGATGAACAACAGTAAAGTCGAATGCGGCCAAAGCATCTATCCATCGAGCTTTCCGACCACGGGGTCCTTGCTTGCCCGCGACGCAGTTAATGCAGAATTATCTGTCCGAAGTCCGGGAATGCCATAAGGGGCCGTCCAAGGTTACCAATAATATTTTCAAAACGAAATGTTTTTGTTTGTGGGTGGGTGGGTTTGATGGGGTTTCGTTTTGAAAATAATTATTGAATGCTGATGGAGAATGCCCAGTTACTTCTGGGTGTCGAAAATTGACATCAATATTTTTTTGGAATTCGTTTTACCTGCAGTAAAGGTGGGTGGGTGGGTGGGGGCTGAAAAATACTAAAACTTTTCGTTTTGTAAAAACAATCGGTAACCCCGGACGGCCCCTAATCGGAGCACTGGATAGCGCAGACTTGAGGGCGAGGAAGGAAGCGTCGCAAGCTTTCGTCCAAACAAATTGCGCATTCTTGCCAGTGAGAGCTGTCAGTGTTGCTGACCGCTGCGCAAACCCACGGATGAATCGGTGGTAATAACCCGCGAAACCAAGGAATGGCCTGGCGGCAGTGACGGACTTCGGCGTCTTCCACCCAAGAATCGCGGAAACCTTGTCCGGACCGGGGGCAATTCCGTCTGCCGACACGCGGTGCCCAAGGAACGCGACATCCGGCCGGAAAAAGGAACATTTCTCCTAATTGAAACGCACGCCTGCTGAACGCACACGCTCAAAGACTCGCGACAAAATTAAAACTTGGCCTGACAATGTTTCGTTCGCATTTAAAACATCATCGAAGAAGACACGGCGAAAAGATTGAGCAGCAGCATTACAAAGCCCAAGAAGAACAGCTTCCATAGCTCTCTGGAAGGTGGCAGGACCATTCCTGCACCCCATCGGCAGCACTGTAATCTCATACAGGCCCAAAGGTGTTGTAAATGCGGTCTTCGCTCGGTCGTCCGGATCTATTGCAATCTGCCAATACCCAGACGCAAGATCGAGCGACGAAAACCACTTACAGCAACACAGCGAATCGACCATGTCCTCCACCCGTGGGATCGGATAGGCGTCCAGATTCGTTTCACCGTTTAACTTACGATAGTCAAAGCAAAGTCGCAAGGAACCGTTCTTCTTAGGAACCAACACGATCGGAGACGCCCACGGACTGATAGACTCTTGGATTATACCCTTCTCGAGTAACCAACCAATAACGTCTGCAGAGCAACGCGATGGTGATATGGAATGTGTCGAGCTGCTTGCTTAATAGGAGTATGTGTGCTTGTATCAATTTTAAGCGGCAATATGTCACAATAGCCATAATCGTCTTCATGCAATATAAATAGGTCGTGATTATCAATAAGGAGTGTGGTGAGCATGCTTTTGGTATCGGATGAAAGGTTTTGTTGTGATTTACCGTATTCATGAATGGTAGCCTCGCGCTGTTCTGTGAGTTCAGGTGTGTGATCAGTGGTGACTGATGAAACGGCGGCGTCATCTTCATCATCATCATCCATAATGAGAGGAGACAGTTCGGCAATATTGTTGTTTTCATGTATAAGAATATTATGCTCAGCATGATTCTCAATTGTCATGATAATGTGTGAGTGATCGGGACCCACTGTTACAAGTGCAGGTGTCACCGACAACGTAGGAAACTTATCCACAAACAACTCTAGTGGATCAGCAACACAATCCAGAGTTTCCGAACAAGCATCCACATAGGCACATGGTACTAGCACAACATGGCCAGCAGGCACCGACAACTCATCGTCGAGGGCAACACGAGAAGAATACGACGAAACAAGTACATCGTGGGAGCATGCATCAGATTCAGAATGGGGAGTTTGAGTATTACATGAGGAGGAAGTATTACGCGGAACAATACGATCATAGGGCGTACGTGACCGAGGACACCCAGAACCAGAAAAATGCAACGGAACAGACACATCGCCAAACATTACAACACCACGAGCAATATCTAACACACCACCATGCTGAAACAGAAAATCGGAACCAATAACCATGTCGCAGTGAATACCAGGAGACACAACAACCGTGTGCTGGAGAGCTAAGTTTCCAAGCGACATACACAAATCAATGGATCCAACGACAGGACGTTATGCGCCATTGACTGCACACAACCGCGGAGCAGACTCTAGCGGAGGTCGCTCT